GACTGGAGTCATGTGAGCATAACGCCCCGTCCCCGTCAGCAACCTGGCAGCTCTATTTTGCACCAATTGAAGTGTTCGGACTGTCTTCAGGGGAAGCCCCACGTAAAGCGCGTTACAGAAGTCTAGGCGGGAAGTCACCAGCGCGTGTGTCACCGTCGCCAGGCAGTCGTATTCCAGGTAGGGGCGCAGCTGATTAATCAGCCGAAGCTGAAGGAAGGCGTTCCTCGCTACCGCTGTCACCTGAGCTTCCAAAGAAAGCTCCGGGTCGAGGAGTACACCTAAGCTGCGGACCTTATCCCTAAGAGGGAGTGTTGCACCATTCAGGACCAGGTCAAATCCACCCTCTCCGAAACCCGATCCGCCAACCAACAGGACCTCCGTCTTGTCTGGGTTGAGTTTCAGTTTATTGGCCCTCATCCATTCCCTTACCTCGGCCAAGCACCGGTTCAGCACAGCCACTGCCTCACCTGGATTAGTGGAGAATGAGAGGTAAAGCTGGGTATCATCAGCGTATTGATGATTCCGCAGCCCACACCTCCTGATGACCTCTCCCAGCGGTTTCATATAGACGTTAAATAGCAGAGGGGATAGAATGGAGCCCTGTGGTACCCCATGGCATAGCTGCCATGACGTAGAGACATGGTCCCCCAGCACTACCTTCTGGAATCGACCGTCGAGATAGGAGCGGAACCACTGCAAAGCAGTGCCTCCAACCCCCAATCCCGCAAGTCTATCCAGAAGGATACCATGGTCGATGGTATCGAAAGCCGCCGAGAGGTCCAGAAGAACCAACAGGGATGTACTCCCCCTGTCCTTCTCCCTGCACAGGTCGTCGTACAGGGCGACCAAGGCAGATTCAGTACTGTACCCGGGTCTGAAGCCGGACTGAAAAGGATCCAGATAATCAGTTTCCTCCAAGAGTGCTTGGAGTTGTCCCGCCACCACTCGCTCCAGCACCTTGCCCAGAAACGGGATGTTGGCCACAGGTCTATAGTTAGTGGCCATCTCATTAGAAGTGCTTTCCCAGACTGCATTAGACACTTAACATTCACTGGTATATATGTTTAACAGTGCAGATGAAAAAATGCAGAGAAAAACAAGCTTATCTACCTGGCTACCACAATTACTGCATCTCTGAATAGACGCAACATAACATTCAGGTTCAAATCCCCATTTTGCCATGAAGGTGGCTGCATGAAGTATCTCCATGTGGACATTCTGTTTCTCTCTCACACACACTATCTTTGTCAGCCTAGCCTACCTCACAGGTTTGGCCCCGAGAATAAAACATTCATGAGTCTGTATCAGAAAAGATCATGTACATTGCCCTACATTCCTTCTGTGTGCCTCCCGTTGCTGTCTGTTGTTGGCATACAAGTAGAACCCAACACTAGAGAGAATGTTCACAAGATCAGGTGTGGGAACGTAAAGAAATTCTTGCTTTTGAAGAAGCCCGTCTCTTTCTTCAGCCATTTCCACCAAAAAGGAGAGACTACCATTGTTCACAGGGAAGGGACTAAGAGTGGCTGGTGGATGCTGCTAGCACTGATTCGAATGCTCTCCTTATTTCAGCATCTTATTTTTGCTGTAGAAGTAAAAGATACAGAGAGGTTTAAAGATGCCTCTCATCAGACCAATGCCACAGCAAAGTGATAGGTAAGCAGGGGCTAGATGTGCAAGAAACCTTTTGAAATGCTCTGAAATGTGGATGAATCTGGAGTTCACTGTTGAACCTTGGACCTTCAAACCCTAATCCCATTGCTTTAAATCCTTTGGCTGATCGGCCTTTCCATATAACAGGGAGATGGGACTGGTACAGCTACCAGCCAGTCTGCACTTTAGTTCACCTACTAAACGGTGGCACTGCACAAGGATGAGTTCAGTCAGCCCTCCTCAAATGGATGTTTCGGACTGCAGCTCTCAGAGTTAATGACTACTGGCCATGCGGACTGAGCCTGGGAGCTGCAGTCCAAAGCATCTCCAGGACAGCAGGCTGTGGAAGGCTGAACTAGAGCTTTCCACAAACAAGGAAGGTGTCCTTTGATTCACACTTAACTGGGGGAAAGAAACTTTGAGTCAACCTATAGTTCACCCCTTTTACCTGTTACATACTCATTCTGGTCGGCAGGACTTTGCATTTCCTTTGCAGCCTGCCTAGGAGAAGAATATAAGCTACTCTTCCTGATGTTTTTATTTGTATATATTTGATCAGAATTTTTTTTATTGTACCCTTCCTCCACAGAGGTCAGGGAAGTATATATGACCCCCCCCATACTCTCATTTTATCATCACAACCACACTGCAAGAAACGCTAAGCCAAGAACACACGTGGCCCAAGCCTGTGCCTCGGCATGGAACGATGCCTGTTCTCTTTTCCCTTCCCAGAAATAGTGAGAATGAGCACCAAGAGTCCAAAATCCTCTTTTTCATCCTATCAACACCCTAAAGTGGGCAAACACTTTACTGAAGCCACATCATGGTCGCACACCCTAAGAGTGAGCGCTACAGTTACAGCCTTCAGTTCATAGTGGGATTTGAAATATAAGAAGTGTCCATTCATCCCAAGTAGCCCTAATCTACCCATAAGAGTTAGGAGAAGACTGGGGGTTATGGGGGGACCTTCCAGGCCAGAGGCCGCCTCCCCCCCACCCCCCGGCTTCTGCAGCCTCTACCATTCTTTGTCCCCTTTCTCTGTATGATAACCTGATTCTTTTCCAAGCAAGCACACCCATTGACTGCCTCCAAATGGCAGCCTGAGCTCTTTCGTGAGGTCTCCGGAGACAAGGTTAGCCGTGTACTTGCCTGGGAAGAAGGTGCTTAGCCCGGCACAGTCACAGAATCAAAGCCAGGCAAGACACACTCAGGTGACAACGCAGGGTGTGAGTGAGCGTGCCGATAGATAGCACTGCCTGCAGATAGTGATTAGGAAAACAAGACTGACCGTGGGGCTGCAGGGGTGGGGGTGGGGGATAAGACCTGAGGGCTGCTGAAATTCAGAAGACAAACAAATGAGGCATCCATTTTCCAAGCTAAAAGGAACAGAAGGCAAATCTGCTGCATTTTCTGGGAAGAGGGCGAAAGGGTTCTCACAATACATGAAGAAAGAACCCCCCCACCCCCACAGCCCTATTTCAGGATTTAAAAACAAGCCCCTCTCTGAGTGAGATGCTTGTGCAGCAACACTCCTGGGGCCTAAAGCAGGGGGAGGCGATGGGGACCTCTATTCAGGGAAATGCCCTCTTTGGTGTGTGGAAAAGTGCTGGGAATCGTAACCCCGGCACCTCTGGGGAATTTCCTTGGAAGAGAACACTGCGCACGGCTCCTGCCAAGCATTGCCTGCTGGCCCCAGACATGACGAACGCCCTCCACATTTTTTAGCCAGTCCCCAGGCTCAGCGGGAGGGGAACGCACACAGCTGCACTCCTTTTACTCCACTCATACTAGCTCTGAGCTTGGGCAGCCCTTAAATTCCAAGGGATTTAGGTGGCGGGGACAAAGAACATGAGCAAAAGAGTATGTGGGAGGGGAGGTAAGTGGGGGAAGGCAAGGGCAGCAGAAGGGGAAACTGAAGGTGGGAGCAAATCTCGCATCGCTCTCACAAGACACAGACACACTTTTTACAGGTCTGAACTTGCTATCCTAATAATTACATTATTACTCTTAATGAGTGGTCCTTGTGGTTCAACACACATTCTCTCGAATGCTTTTAACAACCTACTCATACACACAGGCTACTGCTGCAGAAAGAAAATAAGGCAAGTCATGAGGATAAGAAAACCATGTCCCTGCACAGAATGGCGGTTAGTTAAAAGAAATTAAAGGAAGGGATAGAATGGAAGCTTTCAAAATGAAAAGAGGCAGAAAATGAGGTCCCACAAGATTCTAAATTAGGCCAGGTGGCTTTTTGACATCGCCAAAATGATTTGCAGGGTTTAAAGAGAACAAAACAACACAATTCTGGTGTGAATGAACAGTACCCACTCAGGAATAAGAACTCTGCATTTTCACTGGAAGTGTCAATGATCTATGCTCTAATCTGACAGTGGGGAAAAAATGTAATGCCAGAATTAATTAGGATAGAGATAAAAATGCAGCCAGTAACTCTGCTGTCATATAAACCTACACTGTATCATCTTTCAGAATATTAGAAGAGCCTGTAGTTTCCACATATCCTGTACAATATTCTTGCCATCTTTTTGAAGAAGAACTCGTCTCCAACGTGCTTGTTCGCTCTTTCATGATACACTGACAAATATCGGGGCGAATAATTGGAGAGCAACAATCAGTTCCTGAGCTCAACTTTTGCAAAGGCCTGTTTCTCCGTTTAATGGCACAAACTTTTCTGTGAGTGCAGAGAGCAGAAAAATCAACCTGGGACGCTTTTCCCCATGACATGCTTCTCTGCAAGGATTGATAAGTCTGGAGAAGAGTGTGTCTGATAACTGTTTTCCACTCACAGTTGAAATTTGTTTTCGGAGCATCCTGCCAAGAAATGCAAGCTAATGGCATTTTAGGCATGTGGCCTTCATTCTAACGAAAAGGATACCAGTCTAGCTTCCCTGCTCTCCAAACAAGGAGCATAAGCACATGTGGCTCTTGTGGAGAAAGGATGCATCACACTGATATTCTTACGCTGCTCAAGGAGAGAAGGTGATTTAAGGCTGAGAAGTGCAATCAATCTGGCTGATTTCCTGCTGTTAGGCACAGCTGTGTTCCAGGAAAAAAATAGACTTTCTCTTCCTAGAGGCATATCCGGCACCACCACATTGGGTGCATAAGCAAGTATCAAGTGAATGTGTCCTTTGAGTAAATAATTAGGATTTCCGAGGGACAGACTACAGATGCACCAACATTCCTGTAGATTTCCTACGCTGCACTGAAGCTTACAACAGCCTCTGCCACGGAGCCATGACGAGGCACCATCTCAAAAGGTGGGCGAGCAAACCAACTGCATGGGGCTGGGAGCTCCTGGAGCAGCCGGTCACCTTCAAGTCACTTACCTGCTACTGGCAGGTCCAGCTTTGCTCGTTTCAGTTCTGCCATGGAACTTTGGAGCTGGTCTATTACAAAGTCATCCTCAAAGAAGAAATCTTTGGCGAGAGTTTCCTGAAGAAATTGTACAAGTTCTTCCATTTGCAATTTCATCAGGTGTTCTAGGTTGAGGGGGAAAGAAGATGGCATCAGGGTGTAGGGATGACACTAAAACATATCTGTGCATCCTTTTGCTAGAGGAGATGGAATTTGGTTTGCATTCTTGAAAGCAATGTGCACGGATAACTGAAGTGGGTGTCTGGAATTCTTCTGGAATCCTGAGTCTCTCAGGTTGGAGTTAAATGCTACATAAGCACCTGCTGCCACATGGCAAGCCCGCTTCCTTTTGCACTAGCCCCTTGAACTTAGGTGGCGAGTCCTGGCGGAAATGAAGTCAATGAGAGGGAAGTTTTAGCATGCTCAGAGGAGCCTCTCACCCGTTCATGGCCAATACAGGTCAGGCCGGTAAGCAGGAGAGACAGAACCTTCCCAGTGGTGGCCCTATGCCTCTGAAATTAACCTCCATCAGAAGTTCATAAAATCCCATCTTGGAGGCCTCCAGGAAAGCTTTCAAACTCCACCTGCTTTCACTTGCCTTCCTTTAAGTAGCCTGTTGGTTTTCTCTGGTAAAGGTCTGGATTTTATAAAACTGATTTTAATTGGCAATCTGTTTTAAGGGATTATATTGAAATGTGCTTATGTGAATTTTTAAAAATTCTATCTCCTTGGTGTGATTTTTTTTCTTTGTACAACTTCTTGAGAGGGTTCCTCCCTTAAAGGTAGGGTGGAAATAATTTTGGATTTAAACAGACACAGTCTCAAGCTTCGGAAAATTTGGAAAAGAATCCTTAAAAACAAACCTACCTAAGGGCCAAAAGCTTGGTCATGAAATCTGCATAATTCCCACGTCCAAAGGAAATGCTGAAATGTGCTTGATAGCTTGAAAAAAAAGTGAAACTTTTCTCTGGACTGCTCCCAAAAATAAATGTTCATGTGAAGGTGATGAGACAAAGTTCTTACCTTTCTGGAATACCTAGAGACTTGGGGAAATGTGGAAAAGGTGGAGGGGACCGAGAACAGTCAATGCGATACAAAAAGAAAAAGGGAAAAAACCTAGAGGCTCATACCCAAAAGGGTGAGATATATTTGCTGCTTTGTTTCCAACTGACAGCTGCCAAGGGTCTACAAAGCAACCTACATATCCACCTCACTCGGTCAATGTTCATGAATGTTATCCACTGACCTTTGGCAGACGCTTAGCAAGACACTGGCTAAGCTCCAAGTTCTGGACAGCTGAAAGTGCACACCTCCAAAGGGGTGACAAAAGATGTGCCGTGCCTTGGACACTTGCGCCACTGCTGTTTGACTTGGTGGTATCAGGGGCAAGTTTACCAAAAGCAAGGAGTCGCTCATGTTCGTGCCAAGTGGCTTGCTCACCGCCCTCCACAACTCAGGCCACGGTCAATCTCCAGGATTGGAGGACATGCCAACGCACTGCACATTCAACAACTCTAGAACAAGCCCTGGGTTGTGAGGGTGATTTGTTGTGCCCAGATATGCCACCCTACAGGAAGCAGTACCAAGTCATGCAGCATGAAAATCCATGGTGCCATGAAGGGCTGCCAGGAAGTGCAATTCCAGGCAGAGACTGGCCGCCCTGCCCTGGCACATGCACCCTGCCTGCAAAGCCTCAACAAAAAGATGGCCTCCCTGCCCCCAGACTCTGCCTCTCCTACAGGAAAGTGGCCAGGGCAAGGGAGCTGGGTGCACAAAGGTACAAGGGGCATAGCAGCACCGGTGTGAACATCCGAAAGGCCCTCCATTGAATTATTTCAGCTATTTCTATCCTGCCTCTCAGCTTGATTTGACTAACAGAAAAGTCTAATAAAATACAACACAAACTGCGACTTAGCCCTTCAAACAATCCAAGCAACAAGGTACAGATTACTCTCCCTGGCCATGACGCCAAAGTATTGGCAGTTTCCGTCATCAAAGACTTGCAGGAGTGGGCTTCGCAGAGCCGCCTGAAATCAACAAAGTAAGGGAAGAGCATTTCTGCAGAAGGCTCCTTCTAGGACTTTGGAGTGACACTCAAAACCATCTGCTGCTGCTGACCACTGCCAGTTCAACCTGCTTAGAAAGTACGACTTTGAGCAGGGCCCTCCTAGTCAACCGCAATATGCCTGTTGGTTAGGAAGCAGTGAGAGACACCAACTTTGTTCTGGGTTCTTAGATTACCGCAGTGTTTGCAGCGACTGTTTCTGGTCAAGAGAGTCTCCTGAATGGCTATTATTGGTGGCCTTCAAGAAGGCGAAAGAGAAGCATCCACTTGGCCCCCTTTGCAAAGGAAGAACAAAGCAGAAATTGCATTTCTGAAGAATGCTCCAACCTTTTTGTAAATTGAAATGCTCACACCAAGGCAACTGACCACTTCATAAGGCAGGTTAGCACCTAATGCCAGGACAGAGCTCTTACTTCTGTGCAGTTTCAAAATGGTGTAAGACATTGCAGTGAGAACCCGCTCTCCTTCAAGTATGTAGATGTCCCAGATCCTGAGCGTTAACCGAAAGGGAGTCTGCAATGACAGAACCACGGAGAGGAGTCAGGACACAAAAAGTAGCGTTTGCCACAAAACGTGTGCTGGGATGATAGGAGCAGGGGTGGGGGAATCAAACCACCAAGGGCACTCACACGGTCAAGGAAACACTGGAAAAACCACTTCATTGTGTAAAAAGTAGTGCTGACCTCCTGGGAGTCCTGCCAAGAAGAAACAGTTTAGGAACCTCAGGTAAGAAAACAGCTTCATGCAATTCAGGCTTCAGCAGAATGCAAATCCAAAGTCAAATGACGGGGCATGTCCAGGCTGAACCTTGCCTAATCTCATGGGCATTGGGTCTTCTCTCAGGACCAGTTTTAGCCCTGGTCACCTTGGTGGGTGGCCTATGCCGGAAACCAGACAGGAGAATGGCCCTTATTTGTTTTGTTGGACCTTTCAACAGCATCCAGTACCGCTGGCCATGGAATCCTGGGACTCTGCCTAGTAGGAACCTGGAGGCACCATCATAAGGAATTCCATCCTACCTGCCTGAACAGTCTCAGAGAGGGGTGCTGCTTGGCCCTTATGCCATGTCTCTTGGGGCTCTCTTCTATCCTCTGTGCTCTTCAACATCTTCATCGGGAATAAGCAACTTCTGGCCCTCCAGATTTTTGGCCCACAAGTCAGCATCCCTCTCCACTGGCTATGGGGGGTGAAGGGAGCTGCAGGATGGAGGGTAAGTTGCCCGCCCCTCCTCTATAGTCTCTACAACCACTGGGAAAAGTCACCCAAGGTTCTGGAGCTCCCCCTCATCACATGGGTGTGCACATATCCACACTCTTTTTTTCCGCTAATGAAAAAGAGACTGTGGACGTTATGTACTACAGCTTGAATGCAGTGATGGACTGGATATGGGCTGGCAGGTGGAAGCTAAATCCACACAAGACAGTAGAAATGTTGATTAGTAGATGAATTAGTTAGGAACGGAAAGTACAGCCTTCTCCGAGTGACTTTAACTCTAACTCTCTCATTTCAAGGGGTTTTCGTTTCATCTTTGTTATTGCTACAATTTTCTTTTGATTTGTAAACTGCTTTGAAGACCCTTGATAGGGTCAAAATCCAGTATAAACGTATATTTCAAATAAAAATTAAGGACAAGCAGCACAATTCAACAGAACTGTTATGAAACAAGGCTTGGGTCTTGTGTGCCTTTGAAAATGCCTCTTGCTGTAGGATTATGTTGGTTTTCTGTGGACAGAATGGGCAGTGGCTGGGGATGCTGGGAGTTGTAATACAAGATATGTAGAGGGAACATGTGGCTTTAGGCCTCTAGGACTTTGACCAGCCCTATGCCGTAGCATTAAGCAATCATGTACACTGAAACTAAACAAGAGGCTCTACCTGAATTTTCCAACTCAACAGAAGGACTTCGAAAGTTGTTGAAATAGTCAAATTATCTCACACAAGAGCCCGCCACAAACATGGTTTGCATAATGGACTGGCACAGTTAAGAAGCAAAGGGGACTCAATATATGTAGGCGCCAAATCTGACTTTTTGTAAAACAACACAACGCAAACCAGAAGCCAGAAGTACAGACCATTGTGTGGTTTCCAAAACTACCAATGCAAATGGAAGGGAAACAATCCACCCACTTTTTCTGGGATATCTGATCTTTAGGTCATTTTTTAATGTTCATTCACTCATACAACAAATTGCTCAACATGGAGAAAACGGACCTGCTGTCTAAGTGCAGAAGTGCAGTTATCTACAGGGATCTGACTGGCAAAAGCCTGAGTGGTGGTTAGGGGGCTGGACTGGGGACCTGGGGCATTCAGGTTCTAGTCTCCATGCAGTCATGTAGCTCACTGGGTGACTTTAGGCCAGCCACTCACTCCTAGCTGAACACCCCTCACAGGGTTTTTTGTTGTGAGGATAAAATGGGAGTCGAGGAGGACCATGCAAGCCACCTTGGGTTCCTTACAAGAGGAAAAGAGGTGGATAGCAATACATTTGGGATGAAGACGGTGGTGACAGTGGTACTCCCTTTGTGGAATTCTTTCTCCATAGAGGCCCACCAGATGCCAACTAGGTTTATCCTTTCAGTGCCAGGCAAATACTTTTCATTCTCCGAGGCTTTAAATGTATTTTAAAATATTTTCTTGTGCTGTTGATATGGTCTGTGTACCGTGCCGTTTTTCTAAACCACCCCAGATGGTCCACTGAAGGGTGGTCTAAAGATCTTGAGTGACCAGATCAGAAAACCGATTTAATGAGTCCAGGATCTGTTTGAAAAGTTGCATCCAGGAAGACCCTCTTCTCCAAACTTAAAGCAACAAGCAGCAGTGAACTGGATGTGAACTCTCTGGGAAAATGGAGATCACAGTTTATGGGCACAAGCCACGTTTCAAAGGGTTCTCATTTCCCCCTAGCTAATCATTTAAACGCAAGCAAGCTTGCTCATTCACTTACTCATCCAGACTGATCAATGATTTTTGGGGTGTGTGTGTGTGTGTGTGTGTGTGTGTGGAACAAAGGAAACCAATATACTTGCTATTAGCAGAAGTATATTTAAAGCACTAGCTATAGCTACCAAAGACTGGAGACTGCAGCCGCTAACACATTTACTGGGAATGAAGTCTCTCCGAATTCAGCTGCACCTTCTTCCCGATAAATGTGTTCAGCTCTGCAGCCTAAGGCTACGGCTGGTCCTGTCTCTCTAGCAATCTTATACCCTGTCAGAGTTAATATCAAGTTCCCTGAAACAGAAAAGGAATATACTTCCTAGGAGGAGAGCACGCCTTGGTTCCTAAGCTTCTGATACAAAAAGTGAGAGGCCTGAGACTTGCCAGACAAGTCAGAAAAAGTTTTCCTAGTTGATATCAGTGATATTTTTAAGCACAATGTGCACGGGATCTGGAGACCTTGACAACTCTTAACTAGACCTCATTTGTTACCACAGCTCCTCCTTTCCCCTGAACCCACTCTGAAAGAAAACTGGGAATTGCTTGCCGCTTCTTGAATATTCAGAAGGGCAGCTGGCACGGTGGCCCCATGTGTCACAAACTTTGCATATCCCAAGTTATCCTTCTTGAATTCACTGTACTTCAATGGATCCATCTTAATAGTTATCACAATTGATCCATATTTTATGGTATTTCAATTGATCCATCTCTGTGGTCCTAGGAGAGAAAAAACAAAGCTCAAATCCATAAGAATGGGTTTGCACATTTCCACGGGGCTGCAGAAATATTTCCAGTTAGTCTCTTCCGTTCAGAGTATGCTAAGCACTGACTAGATGGATCAATCTAGTTCATCACGGGGCTCGCCTGAAATGTCAAGGTCAATGGAATGGGGAACACTTTTCTGCCCGGGATCTTACAGAGCCACTGCCCACCTGAGCACTGACACTATCGGGGCAGATGGGATAACACTCTGGCTTGGTATAAAGCAACTTCATAGGTTCCCCAGGCACCCGTACAAGTAAATTAGAGAAGAATTAAATATCATGGTTGACCTTTTCACCCAATGAATAACGATCAACTTCAAATTCATGATGGCATTTACTTACAAAATGCTGCTTAAGCTTAGACAAAAATTTCTTCATTATTTTGTCATGATGTTCTTGAAACCTCAACAGCTTGGGAAAACCAGGAATAAAAAAACCTAAAGGGCAGGAGAATAAAAATAAAATAAAATACCAACTAATTCCCACAAAATATGTTCACAGGTTTTAGAAATGATCTAGCTGTCAGATGAAAGAATTCCCAAAGCAATTTTTTTTAAAAAAAACCTTAAATATCAAGCAAAATGAAACGTCTTGTGGCACCTTAAAGATTAACAATTTTTGAGACATAAATTTACATGCTTGGAGCCCATTTCATCAGAGGCACGAAAGCTGCCAGGACATATAGATAAGGATGCAGACTTTACACAAGGGCTACTCGGATGTATTGCCAAACCTTGATTTGCAATTATAAGCATCAGCAGGACAACCCTTGCAATCAGCATGCGAGGTGAGAACATTCTGGACCCAGAAGTAAACCATAATGGGTTGCTTCGACCTGAGATGGCAAGCCATCTGGTTAGCAAGCAGAAGTGCAAAAGGGGAGGAAGGAGCTCACGGACCTGGGCTTGCTCCAGTAATGTCAAACCATGGTTTTACGTAATATCTGAACACCACCATGGTGTTTCCAAAAGCCAAAGAAAGTGCAAGACATGAGGAGGTGTCCCACTCCTATGAAAGAACTAGATGAAATTAGGATTGATTACTCGAAGGAACACCCTATTCCTCCTGGGTTTATACAACACAGATGCACCACAATGATGGCCACTACCACTGAATTTTAGCTACTGAATGCTTGGGATTAAATTTGCCACACTCTTACATTTGGCATAATAATACATTTGCTGTCTTGTCTGTTCTTAAGGTTTTGAATGCCGCTTGGATTTTATATTTTTATTGTATTTCACTAATTCTGTATTGCATTTTATCACCTTGTTTTATGAATTGTTGTACACCGCCCAGAAGGCTTCAACTATGGGGTGGTATAGAAATGAACATAATAATGAAAATAATAATACTAAATGCATATACCAAGATGAAAATACTAATTGTTCCACCCTGGAAACAGCAAGAAACCAATTCTGCCCAAGCGTAAATAATCCTTTTCTGTTTTATGGTATAGACATAGGAAAACTGCTTTTAACCATAATTTTCAACACATTCTGATTCATAATCACTGGGCTGATTGCAACCCCCTGAATGTGCTGTACACAACTCGCTCCTTGCCAATGAGATCACAGTCTGGCCTAAGCTCTTTGCACACCATCGCCAACAATCCCCTAAACACCACTGTAATAGGCTTGTTATCCTACTGCTTTAAAATATTTTTGGATTAACAAGGATCACATTAATAGCCACTGAACTATTACAAATACAGTCTCAGGTGCAGAAGTGTCCGTGCTCAAAATGGAACGAGATTAAATGGCAACTTTGCCACAAGCGCTGAAGTGGCATACCATGCAGAGCATGCTTGGGTCCTGAGAGGAGTTTCACCAGGGCCCAGAAGGCATCTTCTTCATTCATATACATAAGGAGTAGAGCTGTGATGTGGCTCATGCCCTGACAATAGCCAACTTCCTGGAAAAGAAACAGACAAAATATTTAACAGTTTTCCATACAACAACAAAACTATCAGTCAAGGCTCCACAAAAATGAAATAGGTAACTCTTGTGGCATGAAAAGGAGGCTGTTAGGGTCAATTCAGATGCGGACCGAGAAATAGCATGCCCGTAAATCCCTTTTTTGGCTGGCTGGCTGCTAGGCCAGTGGGAAACAAGAGAGACATGAAATGAAACAAGACTAAATCCTTGGCTGTCACAAGCAGTGCTACTGCTGCAGGAAGAGCTGCTGTGCCCTGAACGGTTGCCCTGAAATGCTGAGAAGTCTCTAAACACCTGACTGTCAGCAGAATAGGCTCTTCATTCAGTTTTCTATACTTCCTGGCCAGTTCCACTCCTACCTCTGCAGGTGTATCCCAGGTAGCCCCTTGCCCTTGGGACACCTGCCCCCCCCCCCACATTACTCTGCAGGTGAAGGTCCACGTGATGGAATAGTCCCAACCTGAGAACAGTCCTTGCACATGGAATGCTTGCATTTCAGACAGAAAGAGAAAGCTACACCTCTCCCCTTCTTTCTCCCTTTAAGGTATTTTCACAGGGGTATCTAGCTCGAAGAAGACTTCTCTGTAACTTAAAGAATCAAATATTTATTCTTTTAAGATTTTTATCCCACCTTACTCCAAAGGTTTAAAGGGTGGCAAAACTTGAAAAGCAATACTGTAACACACTAGAGATTTAAAATATACTGGATGTACTTCTATATAGACTCACATACCTAGGGAGTAAGTGCTGCAGAACTGAATGTTAATTCTAAGAAAACAAGTACAAGATTGTGCTTACTTTATCTATTTATTTTATTTATTAAAACATTTCTATGCCGTCCCATTTGCCGAAGCCTCAGGGCGGCTCACAACATAAAATTAAAATATAATACATACAACAAATTAGAATACTGTGTTCAGTTCTGGTTGCCTTACCTGAAAAGGACATTAAGTTGGGAAAAGTACAGAAAAGGGCAACAAAAATGATCAGGGGGAGGAAGAGTGACTATGACAACGGAGACTGTCCAGCTTAGAACTAAGAGGAGACATGATAGAGGCATCTAAAATAATGCATGGTGTGGAGAAAATAGAGGAGGAGACATTTTTCTCTGACTCCCAGGGCCATTCCATGAAGTTGATGGGTGAGAGGTTTTGCACAGATCAAAGGAAGGCCTTCTTCCCACAGCATATAGTGAAAATGTGGAATTCTTTGCCACAGGATGGTGGCCAACCTGCGAGGCTTTGAAAAGGGGCTGGACAGATCCATGAGGGAGGAAGCTTTCAGTGGCTACTGGCCCTGTGGAATGTGTGCTACCTCCTTTTACCAGAGGTGGTATGCCTGCAGCAGCCAGGGCAAGCAGGACTCCTGCGCCCACCCTGCTTGAGCGATCCTGTGGGCAGCTGCTTGGCGAGACTAGATGGGCCTTTGATCTGACCCGGCATGGTTTGTCTTAGGTTCTTACGATGGAATGGGCGCTAGTCCATAAAAGCTTATGACCTGTTTGTCTTTAGGGTATCATAGGACATGTTGTTGGTCTTGTTGCAATAGACTAATGCAGCGACACCTCTGAAAGCAACCCCTCAATATGTGTGTGGATGATGGGGGGGGGGAGAAATGCCATTTGCACCTGTCCTATGATGTTTTTGATGAGTTGATTGAGCTCTCATCTTTTTCCTAAAGTTTCTGGTCCTCGAGTGTTCAGACAAAGGTTTGCAAAAAATACTTTGGCAGCATCTGCCGAAGAATTAGAAACATTTTCTCTTTGCCTTCTCTGCAGAACTGAAAAAAACCTTGGATACAACCCAACACAATTAGGCCCATTTTAGCCCCTAGAATGTTTACTTCCATGGCAATAGAATCTTTTAAAAGTAAGTGTTATAAATGAACAAATATAGATCTCTCTCTCTCCCTGTATATATGGACACCCACAGAGAGAGAGAGAGAGAGAGAGAGAGAGAGAGAGAGAGAGAGAGAGAATAAGCTTACCGTATTATATACAGAATATGCAGCTAAGACATGGAATAAAGCTTGCTGCCTAAAGAGAAAAAATGTAAAGCAAAATCAGTAACATTCAGAACTGTTTTTGACCAGACTACTGAAATGGCTACTAAGCCTTGACAATATGTCTCTTGCGTCAGTGCACAGAATGGCCTAAATATCACTTGATGTGGAATCTGAATTGTCTTAAGAAGAATTAAAAAAAAATATGTGTCCGGTTTTAACGAAGACGTTCAGGAACATCTACGAGTTTTCTCACTGGCATTTTTGACCTTTTCTTCTGAACAGCAAATCCCAATACCTGTTCACAACCCGTTTTGTGAATTCCCTTCAGTTTAGAATGTGGTTTGAGGGACTCCCACAGCTTCACCTGCCAAGTGGTCAGAAGGCAGGCAGGAGTTGCCAGTTCGGAAATACAGGCCAAAAAAGCACCGTAAGGAACATGCTTCCTTCTCAGGTTCCCAGCTGCAGACAGTGGGAGTTTGGTTTCTGCCTCACGATAAAACACAGGGTGACTAGCATGCAGAAAATTAAATGAGTATTTTATATCACTAAGGAGAAGGTATGATTGACCACTGCATGTTAAAATATCTTACAGCCCAAGGGAGTGGAGGAGAATGTCAGCAATTCTTCTGTACAAGAACAGCGGCAACAAAAGAATTCCGCTTCTTTCATGAGCGAGAGAGTAAAGGAGGTTGTGAGCAGAGAGTGGCTTCAGAAGGGTGATAAGGGACGCTTGGAAAAGAAATCCAGTCAGGCAGAACAACAAGGGGGTAGTCTGAAAGCACCCATTCACAACTGCTTCATGGATGCATGCAGAAGTGACATTTAACATTTCTAGCAGTACAGAATCGATACTTCATTAAATGGGGCTGGGTGATTTTGAAACAAAAAGGAGCATTCAGGGCCCCAGGAAGCCCTAATATTAATGCATGAAATGTAATGTTTTATATGCTAGATTCCTGGATGTTACACTTGAATATAACGGAGTTAGATCATGGTTCATATTCTCTTACAGAAAATGGAAAGGAAGAACATTCACTCCTTTTCACATTTCCCAGTTTTAGGAATGGAGAGCTCCACCATGTCTTTGTGCAGATCTTCTAAGTCTTTACATCTTCAGATTTAAGTTCTGAAATATGACAGGCTAGAAATTGTATCAACTGAGCAGAAGTCACTTCACTTACTTAACTCCATATCTGTCTCTAAACATGATATGATCCCGATATGTCCGATTTACATCCAGATCAATCTGCCTGATATCTGGGGAGCTCCCTCTTGCTTGGCGTTTTAAAGTCTAGGGGGAAAAACATTAACAAATGCATGTATCAGAACTTCATAGTTCATTATAAAGTCATACATCTTTGTGAACGTGGCCTTTTTAGTGACTTGACTGCACTACTGCAGACTGGAGATGAGGCTCTTGCACAGTGAAAGGATTCACCTTACAAAACAGCTCCTTCCTTCCTTCCTTCCTTCCTTCCTTCCTTCCTTCCTTCCTTCCTTCCTTCCTCCCTCATTGAGCGCGGTAGAAAGTTGAAAGCATCGCAAGTTGAGCGACTTCAGAGGTGATGCACTCGAAGCGCAAAGATGCTGACCTTGGAGGCTTATGCGCTACAGTGCATGGCAACAGGCGCAGTGGTTGAAATGTCCACCACCCTGTGCTGCACTCCATGTTTCATCTAGTAGGCCATGTTTGGCCAACTAGCTGGAGGGGGAAGAAAGGAGGCTGGGGCACAGTTCGGATGCAGCCTAACCCATTAGACTCGGCCTCCTCTTCGCCCCACCCTGCAGCAAGCCCCTCTTCTCCTCTCCGAGGCTGATTTCCAATGTCAGAGGGCCAGCCAGCGTGCTTCTTTCCGTGCTAGCTGTGATGGGGAGTGGGACAGGGCCCAGGTCCAGAGTTCCGCCTCTGACCTTGCAGGCCCTTGGTGTTGGGGCTCTGAATAATCCTGTGTCCCTTTACGCAATGCTGGGAGGCCACAGGATTGCACCCTTCATTCCCAAGCGATTTTCTGCATGGTTCAGAGCTCTCTCCACAGTGGGGTGAAGGCTTCTGGGGGTGGGCAAGTGACTCCTCAGTGAATTGAGATCACTTCCTCACTGGGCACACGCTGCTGCCCACCAACCCAATGGTTTCCCCAGTTGATTAAGGAGTGAGTGGGGTGGGCTTTGGCAGTCAGGCAGACACCCCAAAGCACTGGGCTTAGTGCCTATCAAAAACTATGCAGCTTTGCCTGTGCTTGCAACTGCAAAAAGCTTTGCATAGTTATACATACATCTACATTTAGCTGTATTTCCAACACAAGCTGCATTTCAATCTATGAATGCTTCAGAGTAGATTGTACTAGCAACATCTTTTACTGTGTGGGAATGGCCCATCCTGGCTCTTTTGCCAAGACTTTGCTTTTGTTTGGTTTTGACTGTTTTAAATATTAAAGTATTTCTGATTTTATATATATATTTGTATTTTATTGTTTGTTCTATGGACTGTTGTAAACTGCCCAGAGAGCTTTGTCTGTGGGGTGATATAAGAAATGGATAATGATAATTGTAACGATAACACACCAAGAATTCTAAGAGGAATTTGGTGGCAGCCTCAGTCCCTCAACAATTTGACCATTTTGGAAAATCTGCCTGAGCCTTCCTTCAGAACGAAGAGCCTTTGTTTTCACATGTCCTGGTGGGTTTTGCTCTCTTTTCCTGCTCATCACTAGTTGGCATCCATAACCTGCAGAAACATATCCGCTCCTCTTCAACCCATTTTATTTGCTCCCCCAACCCCTGACTGGCTTGCAGTCTATTTTAAAGAGTTCCTCCTGGTCAGTACAAAAAGACTGTTCACGGAGTCTGTAGCTACAGACTGCAAATTGGGGTTGCAATGCGCCCGTCATGTGGAATCTTGGAGAAAATTTCTGATCTAGACCTCTGCCTGCCATGTCGGGTGTCCACCTGCAGGGCTGCTTTTCAGGGTGGAGGTGTTTCTCTCAAAACAAGGGCACAGATTCAGAACACGAAGCCCACCTGCAGCCTCCGGTGGCACAGGCCATCCTGCTCTTCCTACCTCTTTCCGTGGCTTAGAAAGAGCAGGCAGGCCTCAGACTTGAAAGCCAGCAGAAGCGTGCCTGAAAGGATTGCACAGGATGCTGGAACAGGAAGCCGGAGTTTGTATCAATACACAAGTCCTCCCTCCCAACAGAGTCAACAGGAGTTTCCTTGAGCTGGAGACACAGGGCCAAAGGATGTGCCACAGGAGGCACCTGGCTGAGTGCCGGGATGGGACCACACCTCAGTAGCAAAGGACACCCCACTCCTGTGAAGCTGCTACGAGCTCCACTGGGGTGGAATCCTGGCACCTGCTTACATTTCTTCCCTCCCCACAGAAGGACAAAGAGCAGCAGAGACTGGAAGGGGAATTTAGCCTGCAAAAGCAGCTCAGGAGAAACAGGTAATTGCCCCCACATTTTCCTTAACCTTATGAGGGAACGCACCCTCCCTGCCATAGATCCAGCCCTAGATCTCTTATATCGCATCTATTTCCAGCTTCAGTAAGTAGGTTATTCCAGGGAGAAAAGAACAGGGGAAGAAACATCAAAAGGCTTGCTAGAGACAAGATATCCAATGGTTTCTAGGAATGCTATTCATCTCATAATGCTTATATATCACTTAATATAAAATCCCATATAAATTTGCATGCACATATTTAAAACTGTAATAAGGTACGTGATTAGAAATAATTTCAACTATAACGACTAAGCAAATCACATTTGAGGTAAGTGTTAAAAGTGACAACTGTAATGACCATGTGAAACAAGACACAGTAAGATGATGCATCACAGGATTAAATACAATTAATTACAGGCTAGAAAAAGTCTGGGTGCACCAGAGCATTTTTAGGAGGTGTTTAAAACAAGTGCATATTCTGCCTTGTAAGCTGTGTAGGGAAGGGTGTTCCAAAGGGTGGGCAATGCCACCAGGAAGTCCCACGTTTGAGATATTACATTGGCTCAGCAGCTAACAGAGAGCCAGTGCAGCTCTTCTGATGCAGGTGCGATGTGAAGTAGCTGCTGCGTTCTGCACCAGCGGCAGCCACAAGGGTCACTCTGCACAGAACTCGTTGCAGTAGTCTAATTGTGAGGTTACCAGGACGTGTATCACCAGGGCCAGGTGTCCCTGTTAATGGGCACTCTAAGTCACTGGGCTTCCAGGGACAAAGACAGATCCAGGAACAGGATCAGGATCAAGTTTCCCCTTTTCCCTCTTCCAAAGGAGGGGTTCTTTCACAATGACCAAGGCCAGTTCTGTCCCAAATCCAGACTGAGCCCAAATTGGAATGGAGACTCAGCTTCATTCGAGAGTATCTGCAGGTAAGAGGCAACCTTTCACAGAGGTATCTGTGACTGAACAACAGCTGGCCTAGATCTGACTCCAGGAAGGGTTCCTCCCAGGAGCGTTCACAGCACCACCTCCGTCAAGGTAAGAGGTGCCACATCATCCTGCCATGCTGCGGTCACCCCCCCCCCGCCAGTCCATCCCAGCAGTCCCCTTCGCTTCCTCAAGGGCCAGGGCTGAGAAAGCAGGGAGGTTCATACAGGTGCAAGCATCTTGTCCACATCCACGGGCTCCGGAAACTGAAACGGATCTCATAAAACGTGCTAAGATGATGCCCTGGGCATTCAACAGATACTGCATCAATAGTGGCATGAACGTAAGTAATTTTATCCTCAAAGTGTCTTGTGAACTTGACATAGCAGGCTTCTAAGGACTTTAATATGGGATGAATAGTCTACATACCACTCAGAAAAGCTTGGCTAGATGGCTGCTTGCAGACATGATGCAGGCAGCCAAGTAAGCCTTCTCTGCCACGTTCACCACACAGGAGAGGCGCTTAGACACTCGTCTACATGCTCAGTCACCTTCATGACAAGCCCTGTGCCAATGACACTCAAGCCATACCAGGCTTGTGAAGGAAGAGTTCCTGGCTGAGAAACTGAAACTTTTCCTGGACAATGACCGAATACGCGTGAGCCTGTTGCTAGGATTTGAATAAGACTGTTCTCAACTCTTGAACTTGTTACCTGTTTCAATGAGGACTGTTCATTAGGTCACTGTTCTCTCTGTGGACTCTTTGTTTCCTGTAAACTCATATATTTATTTTTCGTATGAAACCTGAAAGATGACTCATGTACTCCAAACCAGGATACAAATGGGTGCCCAAACCGTGGAAATTATTCATCAACTTCCTCCACAGTAAATGCTTTCATTAAAGGCCAAGGTGTGACTGAACCTCCAGGAGTCTCTCTCTGACTGCTTGCCTTCAGATGAGGGCAGTGAAGCAATGAAAATTCGAGCGGGAATGAGGGAGTGTGCTATCCTATTTAATCATAAGGTAGGAATCTGCCGCTGTGGCTTTGATCACATGTCCTTTTGGGCCCATTGACATGCCAAACTGGGAAAGGACCATGCTCAATGCCAATGCACCTGCTCTACGTGCAAAAGGTCCCAAGGTCAAGCCTCTAGGCTTGGCCTAGACACCTCTAGGCTTAGCTGCAAGGGGCAGTCACGTACCTAATGATGGCCAAACCCCTGAATGGAAGGACAACAGTCTTTAGAGATGGGATAGCCATTCTTTAAGGCTCTCTCCACAGGAAAGAGACACTTCTCACAGGTTTCTTCGAATTTGAAATTATTTTTTGGGATTGAGAAGAAAAAATATGAGGATTATGAAAGACAGCAATTAAGATTATCACTGCCATAATTAATCACTGCCATTTTAATGAATTAACTCATTTGCTATACTATACAAAGCCATTGTTTTATTTTCAAATATTGGAGCACATGGTTTACTGCCAACCTTAGAAACTCACATTATAATAGTCTTTCATTTCTTCTTTCATTTTAGGGACATCAAGCAACAAAGACCAAACTTCACCTCTCAGCTGCAATGGTATTCCTTTGTAGATTCTCCTATGAAACTGTATTTTAAAAAGAAAAAGAAAAGAAATCAACACAAGAAAAACTAGACCTGATGACTAATGTGCTTTGGCATACCAAAAGCTACAACCTGGAAACAAAGCAAAGAGCTGTTCATTTTCAGACAGAGATGTATTGTTGCACAGTGCAGGTTTCACAAGGTGTTCTGCCCAATCATGAAGTCATTTCCATGTGCCATGCTCTGAGAAATGCAATTAAAAGAAGGGAAGAGCTATGCGATCATCCGGTAACAAGGAGTTTATGATTATTTATTTATGTATTAAAAACTTTTGTATGCTGTCCTGTTATACAAAAATCTCAGGATAGCTTACAGTATTTAAAAGAACAATTAAAACAACAACAATTTCTAATAGAGTTGTGGGTTTTTAAGGGATGCTTTCACATGAAGTCCTGCACAGAGCAGGAGATGCGCCTGAGGACCTTACTGGCCCTTTGAATTGTAATATCCTATGCTGCTACTGGTTACAACTTAGAAGCATGTACAGTTCAGTTTGGCACTGTAAGATTCATTCTGAGTTGTGACTGGCTAGCAACAAAAATTGTGAGATGGCTTAAGCTGCAGCTACTTTGGCTTTGTCAGCTTTTGAAGCATCAGTAAAACTTTAAAGGTTCACACACTGCTGATCACATCCAGATTGCTATCTGACTGTTGAAGTTATCCTTTTGTCGATTAAAATATATGCAATAAATACTGTGATGCTTTGGCATGTTACCATCATGAATGGATTGACTTGCGCTTTAACATCCAGCTTTATTTAATGACATTTGTTCTTTGATATTTTTTGATAGGACCAGAGGCAGAAACAAACAGCGCTGAAGTGAACGAAAACCGGTTTGATGTCTCCCAAAGCTGCTGTATAAAAAGTGTGATTATAAAGCTACGTTAGGAGAATTATGTGAGAGGGCTGGCATTACTGGAGAGCAGCCTTCCCCGACTGATGCCTCCAATGTGTCCAAACCACCACTCCCAGCATGCTCCAGTGATACCTTCCCACAGCACGAATCTGTTTTTTCTCCTTAAAAGTCCCCCATGTCTTTTTGGTGCCACATCAGCTTGAGCTCTGAACTAATTCCAACCTGCCCCCTTTTTTTAAAAAAATTGCAGCATTCATAATTTACACTGGACAATATCACACACAAATCTTCAAAGCTTCAGCCAATGCAATCATATCAAAACAATAGGCTGTGCTCTGTTTTATAGCCTTCCTGGACCTGCTTTACCCTTTCTCTTCCTGACAGTTTCCCCCTTGTAATTGGTCTTCTTGCACTGTTTTTCTACCCATGTGGGAAAGTAGTGTCTGTTCCCCATGACCAAAAACCGCTGGGAGGGTGCATGGAGATTTTCCGAGCAGAAATCCAGGGTGGGGAGGGAGGTGGTTCCCCCCCCCCAATACAATTTTCATTAAAAGACATAATCATCGAAAGGCTCCACGTACAGTGTTTGGCCCTGGGACACATGCTAGTGTGGAGCAACCATTCACTGCCAAGAGGTGGATTTCAGTTGAGGTATTCGCCAATGAATTGCATTTTGAAAGACGTGCTTAACAACGTCAATAAGTGATTGCACTGTTAATCTCCTGGCTCTGAGTTATAAAGCACGAATCAAATTCATAAAAGATTTCACAGTTACAAACCTTCTGATGCTATGGCAAACCCTGTGCGGAAGGTACTAGTGGAATATTCTGCAAGCCAGCTCTGTAGTTCAAGTCCATTACATACCATGACAGTCACTTTTAACCTTGCAGTGAAAATTAAATCCTGCAGAGCAATGCTATCTCCCACATCCATGCGCACAAGGCTTTAAAAAGATACTTAAAGTAGCAGATTATTGTAGATAAGTGTCTGGTACATCATGTGCTTATCACCTACACTTGGTCACTCGAATCCCCCTCCCTCCACACACACACACACACACACACACACACACACACACACTGCAAAACCAAGCCAAGACAAAGGATAAGTTCTGATACTTAACTGAGCCAAAGATCCAGTTCTCATGACAGAATGTGGCTTTCCTCCACTACCCTGCTAACATAAGGTCAGAAGTGGATACTCCCAGTGGGGACATATATATGGTTCCATGGCAACAAGTTTTCTCTGACTTATGGCAGACCCTAAGAATGGAAACCTCTGGAAAGTCCTACCCAACAGCCCTGCTCATCTCCTCTCATCGCTGGTCTTCCTCTTCTGCCTTTGACTTTCCCTTCTCCATTAAGTCTTGCCTTCTCCAGGTGTGCCCAAAGTGTGACGGGCTCAGTTTTGCCATTTTCGCTACTAGGGAAAGTTCAGGCTTCAGTCGATCAGGCACCCACTTGGTCATCTTTCTACCAGTCCAGGGTTTTCGCAAAGCTCTCTTCCAGCACCATGTTTGGAATGCATCCATTCTCCTCCTCTCAGCTTTCTTCCCTGTCCACTTTTCACACCCATATAGAGGGAGGATGTATGTACAAAAGCCAGAAGCATGAATCCTCTGTCTCAGCAAAGAGGGAGGGGGAATTGTGATGTGGCCCTCACCTGTCTGTGCATCCTGCATCACATGCTTCATAGTGAACATGGCAGACGGAGAGAAAGCGCCAAGAACTTTCTCCCGTAAACAAGCCCTTTGGCCCAGCTAAGTGTCCAAACCCAGCCATGGTCATTATCGATTTCAAGGTGTATAGGCTGGACTTTAGAGCTGGACCCTCTTAGGAAGGTCCTTCTTTGTGTGTGCTTTCGTACTCCCCTTTGTAAAATGGGAACACCACCTCATGGTGAATGGTGAGAATGAACGGGATAAGGAAACGACATTCCCTACCCAGCACATAGGTGGGAAAGAAAGTTTGAGCAAATGAATAGCTGTCGTCTGATGCAATTATAATTGATCCAGACAGACGGAGGAAATGGCAAGTTACTGTGAAAGCAGCTGTGACAGCAGCTGCAGTGCACTTGAAGCGGGCAGCTACGGGGCCTTGTGGGAATGCACCAGCTGTGAGCGTGGCGAATCCGCTCTGGTTACAGAGCGCTGAACGCATATATGCGGCCACTTGGAAACGGCAACTCGTAATGTGAAAGGAGAAACCAATCATGCTCCATTAGCATGTCCCAAAAAAATGCTATAATACTGAACAAAAGAACATCTTGATTTTTTAAAAGAGGCAAAACCATACAAAATTAGATTTTATCATGCCATCCATCTATAAAGCACTTTTCAAAAATGGCAAAGGGCTTCACATCTTGGATTGGATCCAGCTTTAGTCATACTTAGAGAAGACCCATTGAAATCAACAGGCTGAGTCCAATTGATTACAATGGGTTACTGTAGCTGTGACTAAAGCTGGATCCAATCCTCTGTGAATTTCTTTACAACAACTGTGTGAAATGCGCTATTAGGATCATTCTCCACACATGAACTAAAGCTGACACAATGACTTGCCCTCCCCATGCCCCATAATTAAGGCTACAGCAAGAGTAAGAAGACACATCTATACCTAGTTCATATTTCTTTTAAATCAGTACTTCATAAATTTTGGAGGGATTTGAAAATGATGCAACTTCCAATCAAAGAAAGCAGGTCTGACTTTCCAGATCTTACTTTTATCAGTGGCTCTATTATTGACTTGTATTAAATTTCAGCCTTTTCCATTTAGATTAGGTTTTCCACTTTGGTCAGTTTTGGAATCTTATTGCCGGGACCTTCCGTGTAAAAGGATGGCATTAGGTTCTAGATGCAGGTTCTAGAACAAACAGGGTTCCTCCCACAATTGTGGCTGCCAGAGATGTGTGGTGTATATCATCATCCAAATTACACTTTGAAGCTGTTTCTTATGTTAAATGGACTCTATGTGGACATCCAGATTAAAATAGGTAGAAAATTATTTTGTGATGTGTATCTATGTATAGGGTGACTTTTACCTTGGATCAACTGGTAGGTGCCAATGATGAGATTCTACTATTCTCTGTTTTATGGGCTAAACATGGTTTGCTGGCCGTGGGTGAACAGCAATGTTTGGAATTACAACATTTGTTAGTATCTAGGGCTTGTCCCTGCCGCTTTCTTTTCCTGTCACTTCTAAAGTTTCAGCATTAGCCCCTCTATCGAAGCACTTCCTGAGGATGATGAGACAATGGAGAAGGTGAATAAAAAAGATACAGAGGGACTTAAACAACTTAAACAACTGAGTTGTCCCATTTCGCCTAACCAAAGGATTGTCACTTTACCATCTGTATCTAATGCATCTCAGGTTGCACCTTATCCAGCAAAAATTGCTGGCAAACATACTTGTGCAACCTTCTGGGAACAAGGGGGGGGGAGTGGCAAACCAGTGACATTTTCTCCAAAGTTCCAGTTGGGCATTGGTGAAGGGGCTACCCCAGGTGAGGATGAGAAGAGCAGTAGGAGTCATTGCAGCTTTTGCCAAGCAGCTCACTTACCTGTGACCCAAAATGAAATTGCACTCTCGAGTTTGGATGACACTGCAACCAAGCATGGGTCATACAACCCCTAGAACAAGCCATGGATTATCAGGGTGGCTTGTTCCTGGACAATAAGCCACCCTACAGGAAATAGTCTGGATTTGGAAGACGTAATGATCCACCAAGCCTAGTTACCCATAATGAGTTGCCGTGTTGTGTGAATGATGCCAGTAAATTTGAATCCAAGGATATTCAGGCAGAGACAGAACCACTTGTGTGAAAGATAATGTATAGTTTAGTTTTGGGACTGCTTGCAAGAGCCATTATGAACGTCAAAAGGATCACCTTGGCTAGGGAAAATTCACTGAGCAACCTCAAGGGTTCATGATCTTCTCTCAAAAGTGGGGAAATTCTTGGTCTTGTAACTGAATTGATGGTTAGATCATTCTTTGGAGAAATCATTTCAGGGCTGGGATATGCTTAAATACTTTGTATTTCAATTACCACCTGGCCAGTCTGGGGCTGCTGATTATGTGTAATTCTGACTTGACTGTTGCAGCTCAATTTAGACTCCATTTATAGCCTT